GAAATGCATGCTACTCTGAGCTTCTTGGAGGTCAGGTCAAATAAAAAATGAAAAAGTGAATGTAATGAATTAATCCTTATAGAGTCCGAAAGAGAGGTTGTGTTGTGGAAAAAGATCAATTTCATTAAAAAAAAAACTATTTTTAAAAAGTTTTTTAAAACGTTAGCTAGGGAAAGTTACAAGTTGATGCTGAATGACTTAGGCTGCAGTTCTGTACCCATTTCCCCAGGGGCAAGCACTGCTGAACTAGAACAACTTATTTCTGAGAAGACACACATAAGATTGTGCCGTTAACTAGTTAAAATAAACTGTTAGCCAATTCTTTAACTTCATAACTCATTAAATCATTAATTCAACCGTACAAAATATTTGTATTGAAATTTCCCAAAAATGCCAGCAAACAAGGTGTGGGGAAGGACAACTGTGTGTTATACTGATGTGTATTCCAATTTAGTGAAACTCAGGAAGGGAGAACCTTGACTAATCCAGATTACTCTTTAATTCAAAGAGTAGCAAATTTGCTTTTACATGGAAATAGACCTTTTCAGGAATCCTCACTCTATTATGCCCTAGGATCCCTGAATCCTCCTGATTTCTTTCTCCCTAAGATCCCCTCTTCCAACCTGAGTATTCTCATAGGTCATCAGGTGCAAGCATTTCTAGTTTTGCTGACAAACTGATTAGCCTATTGAACTTGTGGCTTGATGGCCAGTCTTGCACCCCAGTTTGGGGGGAAATTATAAAACCTTGTTGAAGCCAAGGAAAACTTCTGCTTCTCACCCTCCTGGATTTTCCAGCCACCTTAGATTCCCACACTGCCTCTGCTCAGAGAGAACATAAACAGATGGCAGAAATCTCTCTCCCCTTTCTCCCTTTGCTCTTGAAGACCTTTTCAAATTGCAGTCTCCCACCTCCTTCCTTCACCTTTGAAGCTGGGGATACCTGTATAGCTCTACCATGCACTCTACAGACTTGCCTTCTTTTCCTCTTCCTGTTCCTGGAATGCTTTCAACAGCCTGTACTTCTATTATTTGTTATGCTTTCAAAATATTGATTTATTTAAAACTTTTCTACCCTGTCCACTACTGATGTCTTGACATGGCTTACAATAAGGAACAAATAAAAGAAACGAAACAAACACAACATCCAACAAGTCAAGATAAAAACCCCAATTAAAACCAACTAAACATTAAAATAGTGGGAAAATAAAAAGGTTTTCACCTGATATAAAAAAGAATATAGCATTGGCGCCAGGCAAACCTCTGGGGAGCGTGTTCCATAGATGGGCTGCCACCAGAGAAGCCCCTCCTCCAGGTAGCCACTCTCCTAATCTCCTTCAAGGAGGGCTCCTGGAGCAGGACCTCCATCTCAGATATCAAAATAAAATCCTGTTCTGTGGAAAAAGCCCAGATTCATTCTGTTTCTCCCTGAGTATCCTCCATGAATATTCTGCTATCTTGTCTGAATTATTTCAACTATATGCTTGACTCTTCTGTATTTTTCTGAGCCAGCTCTGCTGGACAACCAGTAATAGTTATGTGGCAGAAGAGAGCACAGTGGGGTTTTCCAGCACAGCTTTGAGCAAAGTCCCCCACTCCCCATTATTTGTATTCTGGAAGGACTTATCACATGGATATGGCGTATGCTTTAGGCAGGCTTAGAGACCTGCATCCTAAGAAAGGACTTTGTAGTGACTTGACCCTGTGAAGCATGGTTGACTTCCTCTGTTACTATTTCTCCGGGGGTGATTTCATTCCTGCAAGGTTTTGAGGTGCCCAGATTCCAGCTTTTTCAAATGGTTATGGTGTTTAATGGTTAACATGTAGGGATATGAAGTGCTTAGACAATTTACAATTGGTTCAACTGTGGTAGTGTTGCTTTCAGTCTGTATGTGGTGTTGATTGCTTGGAGCTGTACAAAAATATATAGATATTAAGGAGACATTAGTACACAGATAGGCACAGAAGGAAGTTTTGCTGGAGTTTAGGAATATTTCTTAACATTCAGCAGATCATAGGAAGAGCCATGCTCGTGAGTCATGGACATCAGTTCTCCTAAATTTGTTTTATTTTGGCTTCTGGTAGTTCTTATGTGGCTGACTTTAATTCAGAGAGTTGTCATGCAGACCCAGATCTATTGTCCAGGTCTCCCTCAGCCTACATCAAATGCAATGAGTTCATGTTCTCACTCAGCATTAAGCCAGAAGTGTCTTTTACAAGCTAATACTGGCACTCCATTGTCAATACTTTGTCTGGAAAAAATGGACCTTACTTGTTATTGAATATGTGAAAGGCTGTCATGCAGAAAATGGTTGTTTTGTTGCTCTCAAGGACAACACTAGAACCAATGAGTGGAAATTGTGAGCACCAAACATTAGCATTTTCCTAACAGTGAGAGCTCAGTGAGGTTGCCTCAGAAGGTGGAGGCTCCTCTTTTGCTAGAGGTGATTAAATAGATGAGTGGCCATCTATCAGGGATACTGTGACTGTAGCCTACGATGCAGAGCCAGCATTGACCAAAGAGTTCAAGGTCCCTTCCAACTCAGATTTTATGTTCTATCTTCAAGTGCGATCTAGGCTAGGTTACTGTGATGTGTTCTGTGTAAGGCAACTGCTGGAGTATTGCTGGCACTAGATGGGTAGAATTACCTAAGATTATCTTCATGTACACCAACTTGTCTGCACTCTGAGACAAACAGTGGTGATCCAACTTGTGTGCCCACTTGCCAAAACAATTAGGCTGGCAGGCATCATAGGCAGAGCCTTCTCAGTACTGGCCCCATTTATGGAACTCTGCCCCAAAGGATGTTCACTGCACTCCTGAGTGGGCTGTAGTATTTTGTCTATCTTGGCCTATAAGTCAGTTACAAGTTTATTGGGTGCTGTTCCATATATGACAATAGTTCTGTTACTTTTTGTTTTTATTTTTATAACTGATTGTGTAGTCTTAATTTTTGTACCCTACCTTGTCAGTTTTCCTTAAAGACAGTTCATAAATGTTTAAACATCGTTAAAACAGATACCTTAAATGTTATTTTAGACACCCCCCTGTAGAACAAATGCTAGCAAATGCATGGCAGTTAGTTGTGTGCGCTTAAAAAGCAACATGCTTGCTAGCATGGCAGACTATCAAACCTTAATGGCGTTGTACACATTGGAAATCCGCATCCACTCTCCCCCACCATATTGCTACGTGAAGGAGTATTGCACAGCCTTCTTAAAAAAGATTGTACCAGATGTCTTCAATTTTTTCCACTACGTGCTGTGCTGCAGGTTTCTCTTTAAAGTATGTTGATTCTAATGGGAGTGACACTGATCTGGCAATCCTTAGGCATATGAATGGTCCCATTGACTTCAGTAAGGATTACCTGAATGAATGAAGACTGTAAGCTCAAGCCCTTCTAAACCTGGAAAATACCAAACACCCGACTTCCTTTGACTCAAAGATGGCATCAGTGCTCAGCTGTTTACAAGATTAGATCCGTGCCATACTGAAATAGCGATTGTGTTACAAGGTTATTCTGAAAGAAGTAACACCATTCTGGATGGATTCAGATTAAGCATCTAGTATATTTATAACTCCTCAAGTAACACATGTGGAAGATTACTTTTTTGCAACTCATTTGAACTGATGTTTAAAAATTTGTATGATGTGCACAGTAATGTTTTTATTAAAAAAACACAGACTTCATTCATTTATTTATAAACTGCGGATAACTAACTTAGCTTTATACAAATAGGCACTCATGCAGAATTGACAAAAATAAGCCATATAGCTTGGATGATTATAGAAACCAGAAGTAAAGCAAGTTTGCATTTACCAGAGAAATAGTAGTACTTGCAAGGGAAAGACAGAAAGGTTGGAAAAGGGAAGCAAAACAAACATGGAACTAAACTTTATTACCTTTTCTCTTATAGTGAATAACCTTTTGGCTGTAATAGCACATTCCCCAAAATGCTGCTCTTCATAGCATCCTTAGCATTTTGACCATAGTATCTAAACCTGTATTTTGCAAGAAAAGTTGCTTCTCCATCCAAGAGTAATTTTCTTCCATTACAAGGTCCAAGTCCAGTCATATAATAGCCAAGAATGGAGCAAATAATATGCCTACAAAAATCACCTGAAATTTGGAAGCTTCATATAATCCAATTTACCACTCTCAATTACTTTTTATTTCTTCCACTTTTCACAGCTCTTTCAACTGGTCTGTTCAATCTCCTTCAGAATTGGCCTGGTTTCCCAAGCAATACACAGACTAATCAACAGGGCAACTGACTGAAACCTTTACAGTAGTGAGAGAGTACCCTCTTGTTAGCAATATTGTTTCTCTCCTTTTTAAAATCCCACTAGCATTCAGCCAGCTCTGGAACAATTCCCCACACACCCCTCCCAAAATCAGGGCAAAAACAGCTTTGGAAAACAGCAGGAAAATGGTACATTGGGAAGGGACGACCTGCATTCCAAAGAATCTAGATTAGTCTCCTCTGTGGCTGCATTTTGTAAAAGGTAGAATTAAGGAGTTTTGAACATGGAACCCCACATTATATCTAGACTATCCATGAGTTCTTTTGTGAGATGAAATTCAAACATACTCAAACCCAATACATTAATTAACTGGAAATTAAATGCTGATCAGTTGTTATACTCTTTTATTCTCATTTTAAAAATACTATTGCTTGGATCCAGATGTTGTCTTCCACAAGCCCCCAATTTCCCATCCCCTGCAGCCTGTTGCCTACTGAAAACATGCTTCAGTATTGCAGAATCATCTGGACAGTGGGAGATATGACAGAGGAAGAGGAAAATCCCAGCATACTTTTTGTTGTGAGCTGCCCCGAGGCTTCGGCGAATGGGGCGGCATATAAATGTTTTAATAAATAATAAATAAAGAAATTGTGCGTATAAGAACATGTCAGGGATGTGGTAGGAAAACATAGTATTAAGCACTGCTATAAAAGACAACATAGAAGAATTGGAAGCAAATATTCATGGAGCAAAAATTTTTCATTTTGAATTTTTTAATTCATAAACAATCACCAAGTTTCATCCAAAACACAATCTGAAATGAATTTGGAGGTTTCTCCAGAGGTAAATCATCTGAAGATGCATTAAGACTAGCAAAATGTAAATCTGATTTACTTAAAAGTCAGTTCGCATAGAGTCAATGTACATACATGCTTCAAAGTAAAAATACATGGGAAGAAGTAAACCCATGACTGCAGGTACACTGATTCAGAAGTATATTGCACTGATATCAGTAAGATTTTGTTCTAAGAAAATGAGTATGATAAAATATTTTTAAAATGCAAAACCTGTCAAAATTTTAAGTCAAACAAGATGCTGTAAAATCAAAATACAGCGAAAACATGAGGCATATATTACACAGAATTTGATGTACTACATAATCCTCTGCATGTGTACTGTGAAATACAATCCCAGTTGAATTTAACAGGAATTATTCACATAATTAAAGATATATAGGACTGCAGTTTTAGAATAATAAATAATTGCTCCCAAATGAATGGGTAATAATAACCACAGAGTTTCTTATTAAAGTAAATAATATGTTAATTTCATAGGAACAATCAAGGCTAAGTTCTCTCACTGCATCAGTTTTAGCTGATGTTTGGCTAACAACATGCAAAAGAATATGATTATATTAATTACAGAAGCTAGTAGCTAAATATCATTTTCCTTCAGTATATGCAACTTTAACTTGCTAGCATGCCTAGTAGATATGCAAGGTGTACAGAGCTATGGGCTAATTATTATGTTTGCAAAGTCAATATAGATGCACGAGGTGCCATACATTCAACTAAACAGGGAACATTGCTTAAAACTTTTAAAAACCATTTTTCTTCTTCCTCTTTCCCTTTTCTATGTCACCTACTTATTAAAAACAGCACAAGCGTATTTTATCCTTCTGCTTGGAAAAGGAGAAAAAGCACATCAAATTTATGGCAATGATCTAGATGATATCCTGCCCCCAGAAAAAAAAAGTTAAGCAACTCACCTGTGCAAATTCTATATAAAGTTTCTCTATTTTTCCGAGAAGGCTAAAGCAAAAGTTGGCATTCAAAGAGAAGAGACTAGACAAGCCTTGTTAAGTGTTGTTGGCCTGCTCTACTTCTTTTCATTTCTATTTTTGTCCTTTAAGCCCCAGAATCTTATTAGTATATTTAATTCCATGGAGAATCAGGACTGGTCCCCTTTAATCAGCCTACAGCACCCACCTTTTTGCTTCATGTACTTTAAAAGATACAGAAGAAAAGAGAATTACACTTTTCTTTATACTAATCACTTTTAAAAAGCAACTTAGGCTAGAACCAAGCATCATTCTAGGCAAAATAAGATGTTTAACAGATTATCACAACAGACAGCTTGCAAATATTTAATCACTTGTATGCAGATCTTATTTATTTTATGATGTATTTATATAAAAAATTGTATACCGTTCACTCAGCCATGTTTGCCCTCTTATACATTTGTAATAATAATAATACAATAAAAACATGAATGGACAGTTGCTTTGGCTGCGAAAATGATACAACTGCCAATTGGCAAGGGGAAGGAAATGGCTAGAAATATGGGCCAATTAATCCAGTGGGACTTTCTTCTGAGTAGATGTGTGTAAAACTTAAGGGCTGGCTTTGCAATGCCAGGGCTATTAAAAGGCCAGAGGCCAAGAAGCAAAAACTGCTTTTAAAGAAAGGGTATCTGGAAATCTCCATTTTGTAGCAGCTGGGGACTCAGGGTTGGGATGGTGGAAGGGATGGAGAACTAGCAGTTCAGCTGTTAAAATCTAAAGGATTACATTCTCAGGTGGGAAATATTATTCTCCCCCCATTATTATTCTTTGTTCCCCACCTTGTTTCAATCAATAGCTTGGCATATGTTCCTTGGCAAATTAATTCCTTGCACAACTGTGTGCAAATTAGCCTATATTCAATTTTACCTTCCCCTCCCTATGAATGCTGAAACAGAAAGGGAAATTGACACAGAGAGACTGTATGTGGCAGCTGTAAGTGCACACTTGCACAAGACTAACAAAAAATATTCAAAACCCATGAAAACTCCAACTTCAGTTCTGAATCACCAAAAATATAACAGGTTGAAGAACAAATGGTAACCCTTCCAAGTTCTGTTTTGGCACTGGCAGAAGGGCGGTCATTGGTGATATTACAAAAATTAATGGGAGTTTTGCTGTTCATGAGCACCTTGGAAGGAGATTGCAACAACCCATGACAAAACTGCCCTGCTGGGTTTGGATGATACAACCCATCATGGGCAAGAAAAATCATAAAACAAGGCATGTGTTCTCAGGATGTGCTTGTAAAAAAAACAATCCAAAAAACCAAACAACAACACAAAAACCGTAAAAAACCCCCCAAACACCAAAAATAAAATCCAAAACAAAAAACCAAAAAAGCTACCCTATAAAAACTGTGCTGGCTTCAGATGATAAAACAAACCACTACGGCTGGTACCCATGGTAGATTGTTGTGTCATTGGAACCTGGCCAATAAGAAATCACTTTAGAGTAGCTTTTACAGCAACATATGACTGAAGTTTTGTGAAAACTTAGAATACCAGAGAAGATAGAGGAGACAGTTGATGAATTATAAGCTATCTTTTCTTTGCAATTCTTCTCTCACAGGAAAAATCCACTCCTGAAATGCAAGTATATATGTGCCAATTATATGTGCAGTTCTCTTCTTTCAGGTTGGTATTTTCCTTTGCTAAGGTTTTGAGGAATTTGGCTGAATTCACTTATTTGCAGCCATCCTGAATGAGAAGATGCATTCTGAGGCAAGAAAGCAATGGTCTTAGAAAGTTAAATCAGACAGTTACGAGTATACTGGGCAAGAATAAAACCAAGAGGAACTGTACCAAGGTGATGTGATAGTGCAATTGGAAATCACACAGGGAAAGTTCTTTTCCTTGAATCTGGGCAGCATTACACCTGGAGAAATTTATGAAAAACTCACATGTGCAAATATGTTTAGAAGAATAACATTTAAAAAGTCCAAAATGATAGCCACACACAAAAATGGTCTGATTAATTACATTTAACATATAAGTGACTACATCTATGGTGCAAATAGACAATCAACTCATTGGAATTAAAGATTAGCACTCATTCCAATCCAGTGTTTCATCAACTGATGTGCAATAGTCTGCTGTGGTGGTCCAGCAAAAGCACTCTGGTTCCTTTTATTGAGAATGTCAACAACCTGAAACATATAAATATGGTATTCAAGCTAGTTAACTCCAACATAGGGCTTGTGTAATTCATCAGACAAATGGTCAACCTGAAGTCTTTACTACATTCAGTACCCAACTGTTTTGGATGGGAAGCATGCTAAAAGTCCAGCCTTTACTTGTTTCATAAATTTATAAGGCTGTTCTTCTTGTCCAAGTTCACTATTTTTGTAAAATGTTACTACATTTGAATAGATTCTGAAAACTGGTGAAAAATCCAGACCAAAAGCATCATGACCTTTTCCTGAAAATATCAATATATTAACATTGCTCCATAGGCTTTTGTTGGGGTTGGAACTGATCAACATATGTTTACTTACTATATTTTGTTTCTCAGTGGACGTGGGCGGGGGAAAGATTAACAGTTTAAAAATGCCTGCATTTATCTGATCTTTCTTTTAACCTATGAAAACTGCAAACTAAAATAACCACATAAACCTGAATATTTTTATATAAATGGGGCTTCTTCTTCTATAAAGATGATCAAGCCACCTTTTCTGTATCTCTTAGGGGCGAATTGTATGGTCTCAGGGGATGCATCCTTCTGGTCACAGATTTGAGTGTAAAGATTCCTCTAAAGAGGTATATGTATTTCTAACTTCAGAGCCTCTTTTCTGGTTTCCTTGAGGCACCATGGAGATCACTGCGGTGGCTCCCTCTACAAAGCTGGTATTCTGAATCTGGGGATGGGGAAAATAAACTTTGAGATGTAGAGGGAGTGGCTGTGGGTCCTTTCAGTCCTCAAATCACACATCCAACACAGGATTAAGAGTTGGTCCCACCTCTTAACATTTGAGACTGTCAGAGAAGCTGTAAACAATGCCATCAGGAGACCAGTCTGTTTCACTAGGCTGGTCTCCAAACAGGTCACTCAAGGCGAAATGATCAAAGCAGAGTCTCCAGACTTAGATGCATCTATCCACTTTGGGATGAACAGTCACATGCCCAGGAGAGAATGAATATGTTTAATGGTGATGAGGGTGGAGAAACTTCTGAAGGCAGCAGAAGCAGTTGAAGGAAGCACTGGCAGAGGATCTTTTACAGACAATGGCAATGATGCTCAAGCCAACTCTGGCTAGTACTGCACAGAAGACGACAGTGGCAAATTACTGCTGAATCTTTTTACCTTGAATACATTATGAGGAAAAAATCAAAAATGAAATAAGAGATAACACCAGAAGATGAGACTCCCAGGTTGGACAGCACTCAATGAGCTACTCGGGAAAAGCAAAGGACAAGTCTGAATAGCACTATCACACATGCTTGCAGCGAGATCAAAGCTGAAAGGGTACAGGGCCTGATCTGCACAGAGGTGAAAGGAAAGTCTGATAGCAACACATCCACTTGGAATGTGAGCAAAATGAATTAAGGCAAACTGGAAACCTTAAAGCAGGAAATGGAATTTCCTTAAACACAGCAGTACTTGCTGTGAATGAAATAAAGTAGAATAGAATGGGACATTTTCAGTCAGACAAACACAAACTGTTTTACTCTGGAATTTCAAAAGAAAAATGCTCAGAAGAAATAGAATGGCTCTAACACTAAGGCAAGATGTAGCACAGGCAGTAAGGGGCTATAATGCAAAATCCAACCAAATAATAGCAATCAGAATTTTGAAAACCTCTCAACATATAACCTTCATTCAAGTCTATGCTTCAAGAACAGATACTGAAGAAAAAATCAAAAACGTTTATCTATTTGTTCAAAAACAAATAGTTAACACAACAGAACAAGACCTGCTGATAATTCTAGGAGATTGTAATGCAAAAGTATGAAACAAAACAGAATCAAAAGTTGTAGAGCCAAACTATTCTCACTGCCAAAACAAGACCAGGAGCAGATTGCAGCAGAGACCATGAATTCTTGGTATCAGAGTAAAGACAAAAAAGATCACTAACAGAAGCAAAATGCCAGCATACAGCTTGAATAGGATTCCTGAAAAATTTCAAGTCCACATGAAGGACAGATTTGCATTACTCAAATTTATTGAGCATGAGCCAAAAGAACTGAGGACTGAAACAGGAGACCTCACTAGGGAAGAATACCGAAAGACAATTCTGGTAGCAAAAATAAAGGAAAAAAAAGCCTAGATAGATAGAAGGAGAAACACTTACAGTTGCAAGGACAGGCGAGAAGCAAAAGCTGGCAGAAATAGGGTCAGATTCCTGAATGCAACTTTTCCATGACTATCATTTAGAGACAAAAAGAACTATTACAATGCCCAGTGGAAAGAAATAGAAAACAGCAAAAACAAGAAACCTCTTCTAGAAGACCCAAGGAATCAAAGGGAAATTCAAACTTAGACTAGTAATGCTAAGAAGACAAATGGGAGACATGCTATTTGACCAGAAGAAAATATAGGGAAGGTGGAAAGAATTTAGGAAGAGATGAAAGAATGACAGACTCTTTCAAAGATGAATCCTATAAAGGAGAGCTTGTACTATTAGAAAGTGAAGCAAAAGTTTCTTTGAAAGCACTTGGAAGGAATAATGCACCCAGAGTAGACAGGATATCAGTACAAGTATTCTAAGCTGCAAAGACTGACTCATAGAACAGTAGAGTTGGAAGGGGCCATGAAGGCCATCGAGTCCAACCTCCTGTGGTTACAGAACACCATGTTACACCATCCCACTCAGGTGGCTGTCCAGTTTCTTTTTGAATATCTCTAGTGTGGGAGAGCCCACCACCTCTCCAGGCAGCTGGTTCCACTGTTGTATTGCTCTGACAGTGAGGAAGCTTTTCCTGATCTCTAGCTTGAATCTGGGTTTTTGGAACGTGAATTGATTATTCCGTGTCCTGCACTCTGGCATCAGCACGAAGAGATCCTGACCTTCCTCTTTGTGACAGCCTTTGAGGTACTTATAGAGGGATATCATGTCCCCCCTCAGTCTTTTCTTCTCAAGGCTGAATCGGTCCACATCCTAACAAAAGTACGCTAATAAATATGGAAAACAAAACAATGGATCATAGTTTGGAAACTTTCAACATACAATCCAGTCCCTAAGAAAGGGGGTGCAAAAGAATGCAGCAACCAAAGTGCCATTGCATTGCTTTGCCATGCAAGGAAAGTGATGCTCAAGGTGTTGCAACAAAAAATATTGCTTTATGTGGAGTGAGAAATGCCTGACATTCAAGCTAGATTCTCAAAAAAGAAAAAAGAAGCACTTGAGATCATATCACAAATACAAAGTGGCCAAAGGAACCATCCAAAGAAATGGGTGTGCCTCAGCACTTGATTGTCCCAGTGCATAACCCGTATTGCAGACAAGAAACTACTGTCGGGAGATAATATGGAGAAACAGAATGATTTGCCATAGGGAATGGTTTACAAGAGTGCATTTTATCTGTTCAAACTGTACATAGAATGTTTCATATGGGAAGTTGGATTAGAATCAGAAGGAGGAGTGAAAATTGTTAGACGACACATTAATAATGAAAGAGATGCAGGTGATACCATATTATTGGCAGAAAGCATTTCAAGAGACTTGAAATGACTCCTGAGGAAAGTGAGAAAGGAGAAGTGCAAAAGCAGGACTTCAGCTCAATATTAGGAAAACAAAAACTCAAGACTACAGAAGAATTACAGAACTTTACTGTTAACGAGGAAATCGAAATTGTGAAAGATTTTGCACACCATGTCTCAGTCATCAATTGGAGATTATAGCCAAGAAATTGGAAGAAGACTGAGACTTTGAAGGGCAACAATGAAGGACTAGAAAAAAATAATCAAATATAAGGGTGTTTCACTGGAGACCAAGGCCAAAATCATCCACACTATTGTATTCCCAATCACTATGTATGGGTGTGAAAGCTGGACAGTGAAAGAAAGCTGACAGGAAGAAAATTGATTTGAAACATGATGCCAGAGGAGAGATTTGCTAATAACCTGGACTGACAGAAAGATGAAAAAGTGGGTCCTAGATCAAATCCAGTCAGCGTTTTCCACTGAATCATAACAGATAAAACAGAGGCTGTCATACTTTGGGCACATTGTGGAAGGCAAAACGCCCCAGGGAAGATAATCCTGCTAGGGAAAGTCAAAGGCTGAAGAAAAGGAAGACCAAATAGGAGATGGATGGACTGCACAACGGAAGCCACAGCCCTGAATTCACAAGAAATGAGCAGGGTGGGCATGGATAGGAAATTTTGGAGGTCCTTCATTCATAGAGTTGTTCTAAGTTGGAAATGACTTGATGGCACATAACAACAGCAGCAACAAAGAACTGGTCTAAAGAAGTTCCCTTCTAATACTTGCAATTGGAGGGAATCTTGTGCCCGAGTTTTTAAAACCCCTGCGACAGCAGGAAAGGCAAGGAATTGCCTTGTTATTTCTGCATTGCTGACAAGAACCTGCCAGATCTTTGGAAATGTTGGAAGTTCTGATGTCAGGCCTTCAAGCAGCAGAGGCTCAGCAAGGGAAAGACTATTCTCTTTCTTACAGAATAGCAGATAAAATAAAACTGAGTAGGACTAGCAGAGCACCTAGAGAAAGCCATGTACTTTTAACACTTACCTTTGCAATGTATCTAAGCAACTTATTGGCAAGAACTGTAAGCTCAATAAAGGAACAACTGTCTATACCAATTCTTTTAACAACACATAATTTTCAATTTCAATGTAATCACTGTACAATAAAGAAAGTACGAGGACTCATTTGTCTGCCTGGAAACAGCACATCCATACTGCATGCCGTAACCAATACAGTCAGAGGGCAATCAATAAGAAAAGGGAATTAAATTGAACTTTACCTGTTCTCTACTGAACCAGCGGGCATCTTCTATTTCAATGTTGTCAACTTTAATTTCTGTAGACACTGCAGCTGCTATGCATCCAATCATTAGGGAGGAGGGCATTGGCCATGGTTGAGAAGAGACATACCAAACGTGGCCCACTTTAACTCCACTTTCCTCCTCTACTTCTCTTCGAACAGCATTTTCAATTGTCTCACCTAATCAAAGAAAGGAAAGCACAGTTAAGTGAAAATGCAAGGATTACAGGCTGTGCTTTGAAGCATCTCAAAAGATTTGAAACTTTTTCGAACAATTATCCACAGTTATCTGCAGATGGCAGCACAAATCAGAAGTGTAACAAATAAAGGCAGACAATATATCCACCCTGAAAACACATCCCCCACTCCCATCCCCCCTAAAATTTGGGCTGTTAACATCAATGCTAGCCAGCGCTTTCCTGAGATACTAATTTATCTTTGTAGGCTTTCACTGCACATTGCAGTTGTTTTTCACATACAGAAAAAATATATTCTCAAGTATTATCTAAAATGTGTCCAAATATTACAATATCCCAGTATATTACAATACCCCTTAGCCATGTTCTGCATGGCTAAGTCAGAGATCCAGACAAAATCCAGGAACTGAACCTTCAGAGGTCTCAAATACCCCTTTAAAATGGACAGCAAAGGGGCAATCCTAGGTGGGGTAAGAGGGAAGTGGATGGGCAAATCTCTCCCTGGCACATGCTGGCCAGTGTGTTCCACCAGCGTTTCAGCCCAAATAATCCCAGCATTTAAAATCCCAGACTTACCTGCTCCCAAGTGAGAGATGGGAGATTAATTACCTAGCTCCAGGACTAGTTACAGCTGAAGGACCCAAATCAGGCTCATATGGAGCATTCCAGCAGTGTGGAGCTAGGATATCCAACCCTGACTCTTTCCCATTCTGCCAGTAGTAGCAACCCATCTACCTGGCTGAAGTCCTGCTGCCTCCCCACCAGCAGCCAGCTAGTTACACCCCCCAGCGAATCAATTGAATTATATTCAAGCTCATCACTATTCCTAGATATTACAAGCAACAAGCCATGGTAAGTTTAATTGTGGCCTGCCACAAATGCCACTCTTTGCATATAGGAAGAATGATGTTGTGGATTATACCAAAGGCAGCTGCCAGTGCTGACATATTCTGGATCCAACAGCCAACAGACAACCTATTTGCCCTAATGTTGACTGGCAGCAGAGAAACAGCAGTCTGAATAGGATGGTGCACACTGGTATTCTGCATCAGGTTGGACCTGATGGCCTTCATGACCCCCTCCAACTTTAATATCCTATGATTATGATGGACTAATCCATTTCCACTTCTTGGGTTGACTTGGACTAAGGGTGAGGGGGAGAGGGGTGGGAGAAGAAAATCTTCACTTGCACCAGAAATATGGCAATGTAGGAACCAGGCGAGCCTTTTTGAGAAGGGAATTCCATAAACAGTCACCATCACTGAAAAACTTCAAATGATGAGCTCAACACATAGGCAGAATGATGTTCCCAGCTACAGAACTTTAACACAAGCACCACCACTTTGACCTGTGCTCAAAAATAGACCAGCAACCAATGAAGCTCATACAGCACTGCAGTGCTGTGTACTTAGTATTAATCAGCAGTGCAATTAAGGTCTCCAAGGTGTGAAGAAAGCTGTAAGAGTTCCTTTGCCTAGCCTGCTTATCCAATGCAATAATTATAATTCACTTCCAGTTGTTCTGAACCTGAGAGACCTGAAGAGCTTCCTTTCAGTCCTCAAGAAGAGAAAGCCATGCCTGAATTTGCTGAAATCCTTACAGCCACAAACCTTTACATCAGCCTAGAGGCTTTCAGATAGTTGGAAGTACAACTGATCCTGACCATCAGCCATGTGGACTGGAGAAATTAACTTCAAAACATCTGGAAGGCACCAGATTTGAAAACATATGAAACCATTGTGGGTAGCATCACAATTCACCTAATTAGTGGATTGCTGTTTTGGCACCTGCCTGTCACATCTATGGAGCTTAGGTTGCATCTTCTTCAGCAAAAAGTAAGCAATTGTCTACTTTGGCTCTAGTGGAACAGTACAGCTAATCTTTCTTTTAAACCTATGTTTTGATAATGTCCAATAATGGCTTCTTTGATAATGTCCAATAATGGCGATGATGGACATGCTCATTTAAATTATCAGCTTATTACATGGAAACTAATGAATGAAAGGAAAAAGAGATTCTCTTTCACAGATAAAAGACTAATATTACAAAACTGGAAGAATAAACACTCAGCTCCTATAATGCAACATACCTTTTGCTATACAAATGGGTGGCATACCGATGTCAACTTTAAATATATACTTATCTGGCTTTTTGGTCTGTTTTTGTTGAGGTCTAGATATAATTGCTAGAAAGTTGTGTTCATTTAATAAAACTCCATATACATATAGTAAAAAGGCAGAAAATATAAAACAAATTTAGGGTAACTGTGGGCACTATGTTGGGGACCCCTTTGTTGGGAATCCAGAGTGAATTCCTTGTCTGAAATTCTAGGAACAGGTCTTGGGTGTTGCGGTCTTCACTTTTCAAGTGATACACACTTGCAAAACCATCACATATTATAGGCAATGTGTATTAAAATCATGAGAGCATGTTGTCAAAGTGCTGAGGAAAGCTCTATTATTTATGTCCGTTGCACATGAAAGATATCAGCCCAATTCTGAAGTGAATATGAAAAGCCCTGGGTGAAAAAGCATATATTTTATCAATCCCACACGGACCTTGGGAATGCCAAGCAGGATAGTGGCTAGCTTAAAATGAAGACCTGGCCAGCACATAATGACAACCCATTGATGTAAAAACCCATGGATTGTCATAAATGAACTGGAGAGAAAGACGGTGCACTGCCTCTCATGCAGTCCTTCCCTTTGTGGATGAAGTCCTTCCATCTGTATAAGAAGCTGAAATCCTGCAGAGGTAAAGGGAGCACAAAGCAATTTCCACTGATTTCCTTTTCCTATGTATTTTCTTGTGCCACACCTCCCACTCTGAACAGCAGATAGAGGGTATGTGGAGAAAAGGCAAGAAGGGAGGGAGAATACACCAGAGTACTCTGTACAAACAAAACATCTGATGTTGCTATTTATTTTATTTACTACATTTATATTATGCCTCTTTTCTTAAGGACACAAAGTGGTTTACATCATTCTTCTGCTCTCAGTCTTATCTCTGCAACAACAACCTGTGAGGCAGGTTGGACTGAGAGTTTGTGTGCCCAAAATCACCCAGTTGGCTCAATGACTGAGTCCCAGTCCTGTACTTTTAACCACTACACCACACTGGCAATAATGCATCTTTAACCAGTGGCTGTACACAGCAGTACAGTTTGCTACAGATCAAAGTTCAAATTGAACAGGTGTTATTCAAAGATCAAAGGACAAAACAGTAATTTTAAATTCAATATCCCAGAAAAGGAAAAAAAAAATGGCATAATACAGTACAAGAACACTCACCAGGCTCTACAAATCCGGCAAGGCAAGAGAACTTGCCTGGGGGAAATCTTTTCTTTCTTCCCAGAAGGCAATGGTTACCATCTGGATGAATAACTTGCATTATCACTACAGGATCTGGAATACAGGGTATTAAAATGATTTCAAAAGACAGCAAAGAGCATAAATGTACCTACTCTCATTTAGCGTTCATATCTTTTTTTAAAAGCTTGACATTCAATTCTCTAGAAGCCCTGTAGCTAGTAATCTTATTGCAGGTTCTTTAAAAATATTCATTCACCTCTTTCTTTAAAACAGATTCCTTGCAGGAATATACCTATGTAGACCAAAAGTGAAACCCAGGAGATAAATTACTGGAACTGCAGCATGCTTTTGGTAAAAATGAATGACCTAGTTACACACCCAACAGAAAGCAGTGACTTAATCAGCAAGAATTCTCGCCTTCAGCTCTTTCCTGCCACAGATTAATGGGCCAGTAGAATGCATATATTTTTCCAAATGCTATGCACAGTTCAAAGTACTGTGAGATTCCGCTTCCTTCATAGCTGTGTCATGACAGTATCTTTTCCAGCTTCTGTTTGAAATTTAATTCTCCATTTTGCTTCTTTCTCCTCTCCATTTTATTCATTTCTTGAACATAAGAAGCTATTTTACTCCATGTTTTCACTAGAAATAGGTTGAGAATAGTCATTGATATTCTCCGGTAGTCCCAGCCCACTGCAGCATACCTTAGCCTCAAATTGTGGTTTGCGATCTTGGTTTGCACAAGCTAGAGTTTTGTGCATTGAGATGAAATGGTCACTATGCTTATGAAACTTTCTAAGCTCAGTTCAAAGAGAATACAGTATATCACAGAAGTGAATACACCCCTCACATTTTGTAAATATTTTATATCTTTTCATGTGACAACCCTGAAGAAATGACACTTTGCTACAATGTAAAGTAGTGAGTATACAGCTTGTATAACAGTGTAAATTTGCTGTCCCCTCAAAATAACTCAACACACAGCCATTAATGTCTAAACCACTGGCAACAAAAGTGAGTATACCCCTAAGTGAAACTGTCCAAAGTGGACCCAAAGTGTCAATATTTTGTGTGGCCACCATTATTTTCCAGCACTGCCTTAACCCTCTTGGGCATGGAGTTCACCAGAACTTCACAGGTTGCCACTGGAGTCCTCTTCCACTCCTCCATGATGACATCATGGACCTGGTGGACGTTAGAGACCTTGCGCTCCTCCACCTTCCATTTCAGGATGCCCCACAGATGCTCGATAGGGTTTAGGTCTGGAGACATGCTTGGCCAGTCCATCACCTTTACCCTCAGCTTCTTTAGCAAGGCAGTGGTCATCTTGGAGGTGTGTTTGGGGTTGTTATCATGTTGGAATACTGCCCCGTGGCTCTGTCTCCGAAGGGAGGGGATCATGCTCTGCTTCAGTATGTCACAGTACATATTGGCATTCATGGTTCCCTCAATGAACTGTAGCTCCCCAGTGCCGGCAGCACTCATGCAGCCCCAGACCATGACACTCCCACCACCATGCTTGACTGTAGGCAAGACACACTTGTCTTTGTACTCCTCATCTGGTTGTCGCCACACACGCTTGACACCATCTGAACCAAGTAAGTTTATCTTGGTCTCATCAGACCACAGGATATGGTTCCAGTAATCCATGTCCTTAGTCTGCTTGTCTTCAGCAAACTGTTTGCGGGCTTTCTTGTGCATCATCTTTAGAAGAGACTTCCTTTTGGGATGACAGCCCTGCAGACCAATTTGATGCAGTGTGTGGTATATGGTCTGAGCACTGACAGGCTGACCCACCACCCCTTCAACCTCTGCAGCAATGTTGGCAGCACTCATATGTCTATTTCCCAAAGCCACTCTCTGAATATGACGCTGAGCACATGCACTTAACTTCTTTGGTCGACCATGGCGAGGCCTGTTCTGAGTGGAACCTGTCCTGTTAAACCACTGTATGGTCTTGGCCACCATGTTGCAGCTCAGTTTCAGGGTCCTGGCAATCTTCTTATAGCCTAGGCCATCTTTATGTAGAGCAACAATTCTTTTTTTCAGATCCTCAGAGAGTTCTTTGCCATGAGATGCCATGTTGAACTTCCAGTGACCAGTATGAGACAGTGAGAGTGATACCACCAAATTTAACACACCTGCTCCCCATTCACACCTGAGACCTTGTAACACTAATGAGTCACATGACACCAGGGAGGGAAAATGGCTAATAATGCCCAATTTGGACAGTTTCACTTAGGGGTGTACTCACTTTTGTTGCCAGTGATTTAGACATTAATGGCTGTGTGTTATTTTGAGGTGACAGCAAATTTACACTGTTATACAAGCTGTATGCTCACTACTTTGCATTGTAGCAAAGTGTCATTTCTTCAGGGTTGTCACATGAAAAGATATAAAATATTTACAAAATGTGAGGGGTGTACTCACTTCTGTGATATACTCTGTGTATGTGATCTCCCGAAAAGCCAAAACATAGTTTACTGATGTGTCTGAATGTCCCAGTAATGTTTTTCTATAATGTGTTCAGAACTATATTAAAACAATTATTATTTAATGTCCTCCTTGATGGCATTCTGTAACCAATTTTTTCCTTTGGTAGAGCTTTGGCCTGACAAATGAGGCCATTTGGCCTGACCAATGAGGTTTCTTGCTATAGTTTTGAACTTGTAGTTTTTTCTACCACTCTTTATTTGCTCAAAACTGTTCTATAATTCCAGTTTAATCTGTTATGATAGCAGTATTGAGTGGTTCATCTCAGAATCTAAAAGGGAGATAAATGGTCTCTTGACAATAGAAAAAATGTGGAAAAGCTGAGCAGTAAGTTTGCCACTTGTTGTGGGATGTTCTTGGTGTACACATGGACAGCTGTCCATTGATACATGAATATCAAAATTGATGACACCAAGGAACAACTGGCTGAAGATGCACAACAGAAACTGAAAGTTGCTTTAAATTACTACAGCCTCTCCAGTTATAATATATCCCAATGCTAATTATATGCAACACTACTGGCATGTTTTGAAGAGATCAAGACTTTCTTTTCGCTTCCTGTTTTTGTTTTGTTTCATCTGCTCTGGTAATGTCTTCTCACATCCCTCTTTTGTTTGAACACCTGTCTTTGCTGCTTCCCTCTGCCTCATTTGAAGGTTCTTCCAGGTCTTCAACCAGAAAGGATACTCATTAAAAAAAAGAGTATTTGGCACGGAGGAAGGCTGCAACTGCTAGACTTCTCACCATTTCCACATTTGCCCACCCCTTTTATTCCACCCTTAGCAAACAGGACTATGCCAGAAAGCAGGTGGGAGGCAGAGAAAGGAGGTGGGCAGAGAACTAGTGAGACAACATTGTGTAAAATGTGATGGTTGCATCTTCCCGTTAAGCAAATAGGACACCATTTTAAAGTGTAGACTTAGCAATTCCTTCATACTTTGAAGTTCAGCTCTCTCCTTGGATTCTCTCCTTTCTGCTCCCTTGCTGTCAAAATGACAGATATGACCATCCCATTAGGTAAATAAGTTTCAAAGACTGATGACCTGTATATGCTGTAAGACATCCAGCATGCATTTCAAATCCTGCTGACTGCTAGTTTTGTTAAAGAAACGTCACTAGGAATACCAACTGTTGGCTCAGCGGTCCTGTACATCTAATCCTGCCCACAATTTTTCCTTCATTTGGGCTTCACAATATTTAAGAACCACTAATTAAACTTCAGGACGAAGTTTAAGGAACTACTAGACCAGCCACAATCTGAAAGACAAAATAACTCATTATAAGAAAGAAAAGGGACAGACCTTCAATACACTGTGAGAGAGAAGGGAAGAAGAAAATAAATAAAAGAAAATTAAAGCAGTGTAAGGGCAACCTCAGGGTAAGTAGGTAAAAAGAATTATTAAGATATAAAAGCAAAAGTTTAATTAAGCATTATGCTAAAAGAAATTGCAAAGAAATAAGCAATCAAGGAAAAAAGATAAAGTACCTACAGTGGAATAAAAATTTGCTTTACTTAAGTTGCTTTTAGTTATGTTCCATTTTCACCTACAGTGCTCCACAGAAGGTTTGCCACAGCTAACAAAAGGCATGAAATGAGAACAAAATGGCTGAATTTACACAGATTACTGGTGAATCCTGATTTCACGAGTGAGCTGAATGGTAATGCATACAGCCTGTTCATCCCCACCTTCCACCCACTACCATGAGTAAACAAACTGGAAATTATTTGCTTTGTGTGATTTCTGACCCTGAGAACTTGGTTCCTTCTTCCAAAACAAACCAAACCAAACCACAAACCAACAACAAAACCCTGGCTTATTCCAGCTTATTTGAGAGCAACAAACCAAGTTCCTGAGTTCAGATGCCATGTAGAGCAAACTACTACTGGTTTGTTTACCCATTTGTGCTAGCAGAACAGCAAATGGACCTTCTGAACCAGCACACAGTTCATTCATGGCAAGCCAAGGCTTCCTGTTATATACAGTGAAAAGACAAGGAGGGAATCAAACTTGAATTTTTTCCATGTTTATCATTTTATACAAGGGGTGAAGCGGGAATGAGTGGCCCTCAAGATACTGTTCGACTGCAACACCCATTATCCTTCAGTCTTTGCTCACAAATAGGAGGGGGAGCTGCAGTCTGACATTATCTGGAGTGGCAACATGCTTCTCATCCTTGGTATAAAGCAAAAATTCAAGTCAGATTCTCTCTTTTCTGCTTTGCACTTTGTTTGTAAATATACACTAGCACAAATTTTGGTACAAGAGTATGGAAATTGACTGGTTTTAATATTATAAAGCATTAAAAGAAAACTAAGGTCTCATGCAGTTTTACTAAAAGGGAACCCTTTCTCTGCTCTTCACAATCTGCATTTGTGTGTGTGTGTATGCGTGTGTGTAAAGACTAAGCATTACATGCAGAATAATTTAACAATTTAGAATGCATACTATAGGTGGACCAAACTGCAATTTGTCTTTTAACATTCTTACCAACTCTTGGATAGCATGTGTTGTGAATTCCCTGATGGCTGCGACAGTCTTCCTTTAAGCAAGATTTCCTGTAACCTCCATCTTCTAACTTAGTTGAACTGCCACACGTTGGGCAGAATTGATACCGGCTGTCCCATGCTAGAACAGATCTAGCCTCAGCTATAACACCTTAAAAAAGACCACATAAAGCGACTTATCAAACTCACAAGATTTTTTTGTTCTAAATATTGATTGTATGCTGAATTTCAACCTAGACAACCAATCCAGAAGGATAACATGATTGAATGCACTGAAAATTGCTGAGAGGTCTAAAAAAACGAACAGAGTTTCTCTCATTTTCTTCAGAAAGGACATTCACCAAGGGGATCAAAGTGATTCCTATCCCAAAACTTGGCTTAAAGCTAGATTGAAATAAATCTAGAAAGTCAATTCATAGAAAATATGTGTAGAAAATCAGCTTCTTAAGCTGATTGTCAATCATGTGTGAACTCTTTGCTCAAGAAGGGGGCAATAGCAACCAACCTATAGCTGGATCTATGGGATCAGGGAAGGAATTATCAGGAGTGGCCTGGTGACTGCCTCTTTATGGGAACTGATACCATCTCTTCTCTCAAGGAGGAGCGTACTATCTCTTGGACCAATTGGCCATCCCTTCCTTTTTAGAGGAAACAAGTCAAGAGGTTGAGAACACAAGTGCTTGGTTGAACTTGTCCAAGCACTTTTGTATACTTCTGCCTCAACAACTGAAAGTCATCAAAAACATCTAGACCAGGCAGTGCCCTGGATACCCTTAATAGAACTATATTAATAGCAGACTCTAAGTCTTGTCAGATGCAAGCAGGTTTACCTTCAAAGTGTCTTGCAAATTTATCACAGCAAGCCATCAAGGGCGTGACCAATTCCCTCTCAGAGTCAATATATATTGCAACATCAACTTTCCAATATACCATGAAAATTCACATAATAACTGCTTTATGTCTTGCTATTAAAGCTGATAAAGTTTACACGCTCATTTGTAAACTCATAACTTTTGTGTGCATTACTTTTGGCTGCTCGCTGTAGAAATGGAAGAGGCTTGCTACATCAAAAGTATAGTATGAGATGGGAGTTCAGAGAGCTCAACCATGATAGATTGCAGAATCACTGATATGTTCCAGATCTAAAACATAGACATGCTGGATCCATAAGCCTGTGGTTTAGAGGACTAGAACACTTCTAGCAGTCAATAGCAATGTAAATCAGTCCTCAAGAGAATAAACAGCAATAATTCCTAAGGAGAATAAACAACAATGCCAGAATACGTTTTGTGAACCAGAGGTTGAGGCCAAAAAAGGCAAAGAAAACAATAGTCAACCTGTGCTGACAGAAGGCCAAATAGGAGATGGATTAATTCCATAAAGAAAGCCACAGCTTTGAGTTTACAAGAGCCACACAAGGCCAGCAAGGAGAAGATATTCTGGAGGGCATTCATGCATAGGCTCACCATAAATCAGAGAAGACCTGACAGCACATAACAACCAATGTTGGTGTAAGATATTCTAAGTCCCAAGTTTGTGGGTTGCTTTCTACATATTTCAGTCAGCACAGTGATCATAATATTCCTACAATTATCCTACAATCATCTAAAGATATTATGTAGGTGAGTGCTTGTTACAGGTGATTGAATAAGCAAACCCCATGCCAAAGAGCCCTCACTAAGAAATATACTGTGACCGAACACTGTTAAAAAAAATCTCTGAAATTTTTGTTCCAAATCTAAAGGAGAACTGCTTGGTGACCTTACCAGCTTCATTTTCAGACAACTGCAGCAGTGCAGGAAATGGTGGATGAAGGAAGTAACAGCCTTGACGCTGTTGTATGAATTTGTCAGCAGCAGTACCATCTATACTGAGAGCAAACCAAGCAATCAGTCCATCATCTTCATTTGGATCTTTCACATTCAGTGCTGGAAGCAAGCTGCTTTTCACTTGAAGTTCTACTCCAAGAAAAATCCATGTGGTGGTTTCAGTCTGTCCCAGGTATTCCTTTACATCCTCGTAGCAAAGCTTACAAAGTTTAACTTTTGGGTAGTGGAAACTCTCTTCACCATCATCTGATGTTACCAGTGGATTTAAATTTGAAAAGAGGATGTACACAGTAGTTGGTTGTTTCTGTTTCAAGTTTAGCCATTTAGAATCTACCCTTTTCTCACTCTTTCTATCCAGAAATGCCCTAGAAAAATAGTTTTCATGTTCTCTGACTTGACTAGTCAGGAAAAATGGCTGAAGTTCATCCTTCTCATTAGCTAATAAGTTAGTTATGTTCTTATATCCCCAAAATCTAGCAATGTCCAGTGCAGTCTGGTTTGAAGCATTGGTTACAGATTTGTCACACCTTTTAAAAAAGTGAAAATTAAAAGTTAATGATCAATATATTTATACAGAACTTCTTAATGCACTAGGTGCCTTAAAGTTTATTTTGTTTGATATCTTAAACTATCAAGAGTTAAAATGGCAAAGGTGGGCAGGTTAAAGAAATCTCAGTTGGGATATTTTTTTAAACTACTGCAACTTCCTCTTATAGATCATAAAGAACAGCAAGATATATTTAGGAAGACTGATAAGAATATACACAAGCAACATACTAGAATATTACATTTATAAATCTCTCTAGATTCTAGAAAATATCTTATATAACTGACCCAACAGAGTTGCAATATTATTTCCTCCCTAATCACTAATTTTCCCCATAATGTCTAGTTCCAACATTAATACAGTAGTACCTTGGCTCACAAACTTAATCTGTTCCAGGACTCTGGACATGACCCAAATTGGTCGTGAGCCAAGTCAAATTTCCCCATAAGGGTCAATGTTCTGCAACTATTTTTTTACTCACAAAAATCTGAAGCAAAATGACAAAGAGCAACAAAGATCGTGGATATCTCCCTCCTCCAGCAATCATGCAGGGGGGTGGGGGGAGACGGGCGCAATCATGGGCGTGGTGGGGGTGAGGTGGGAGCGGGTACACGGGGGAGGTGGGCGCAGGCAGGCTTTGGCAGGGAACATAGGTGGCTATCTCCTCTCTCCCCCCCAGCACGACTGCGGTCGCACTCGCGATCGTCATCTGATACAGAGTTTGCGACCTGCAGCAAAATTTTTATGAAATTTCTGTTCGTGACCTGATTTGGTCGTGAACTGAGGCATCTGTGAGCCGAGGTACCACTGCACTTCATTTCAATGAGCTAAAATGAGCTAAAAGAATACAGCATTATTAAGAACAGCACATAATAGGCAAAGTCAGATTGAGATCTAAATTGTTGAAAAATTCATGGAGATTCAGCAGAATTGCTTAAGATTACCGTGAAAGAAATGGTACAAGCCTAAAACAGAAGGGGCACTGGATTTCAATAAAATCTAAGTGTGCAATTAAGCACTCAGAGCACTTATTTGTGGGAAAGCCCCATTCCACTCAGTTTCAGCCTGATCCTAAGCATTGCTACTCAGAGGTAAGTGCAAGTGAATTCAATGGCACTTGCTCCCAGGTAAGTATGACTACAATTGCAGCCTTAATCTCTCCAGGCCTGGCTTGAAGAGTTAATCATTTATTAATCCCCTTGAGAAAAGTTACATATTACATCAAGTCAGAAAAGGGTGATTAACAAAGAGGTTACCTGAAAGCACTTGGTCCCTGGATTACAAATGATCAGAGGAGGTATCTGAGAACACGTTCACAGACTAAAAACATGTGAGACCATTTGATTTAATTTATGCTTTTGTATCACTTTTAATGTTAAAGCTTGAAGTTAAGAGTTTATATTTCAGTATCAGAATTAAAGCTGTAAGAATTATCCCTATATAACCATTATGTTGTAATTTTCAATACACATATTTAGACAATTTGAATGAATAATCGGTTTTCTATGTTTTTCTTACCCCCTTTCGAGAAGAGCCTGCACAATTTCAAAGTGTCCATTTCTAGCAGCGTACATCAAGGCTGTCCAACCATTCTTAGCAGTTTCATTGATAAGAGATGGAGAATGACTGAGCAGTGCAGTAAGTTTGGCCTTGTCTCCAGCTGCCGCAATACTATGAAGCTCAGAAATCAATTGCTGCTTTGGATTCCCTTGAATATCTGCCATTACCTGTTTGGTTAACAACTTAATAAATTTTTCAAAGCATGGTCAGGATATAGCATGTATATCTGGTCTAATACTATGCTGGAATATTAAACATATTTCAAGGACTGCAAAACTCCTTCAAATGATTGAACCGGATAGGTCGTTTGTAGTTCAAAATTGTTCTTCAGAAATAAAGCTTTCCAGAAAAATGGTACCTTGAAATGACTGCTTAATAACTTTGGTTAAAATGAGTGGTACTCAAGTCTCTGGTTACTAAATCACCACAATGGGCTGGCAGAACCCAGAATGAGCCTAACAGAGTTCGCTGTCCTAATCTACCTCCACCTTGTTCCTCCTAGCAGTATCCCGGGGTGAAGAGGAAGGAACCTTCTCTCTCTGATATGAAGAGGTTCTTCAAGATGACAGTATCCAGAGAGAAAGAAAGAACCAGCCTCCTCTGCTGCAATGTTGTCAAAAGTCATCCTACTTTCATAGAATAATTTTCTATTAGCCCTGGAAAACAAGCTCGTAAAGACATTGAGGAAAGCTTGTCTCTTGCCCATTTTCCTCATAGTCACAGTGAGGGCTTTTCTGCCATGGTACTGAAAGTAATCCCACCCCTTGTAGCAGTAATCAGCCCCAGAAGATAACTTTCCACTGGAGGCAATGGGAGTTTGTCTTCCAGGGAGAGTACTTAGCATGAAAGTGGGATGACTTTTGACAGACCTACCCCAGGCAAAGTTACATACTCCTTCCACAGATGGTGCAAATTTTTATCAGAACCATGGCAAGAAGGCCAAGGATAGCCTCCCCCCCCCCTCCAACCCCCCCAGTCCTGATAGAAATCTACCCGTCAAGGCTATTAACAATAAAAATGAACAGCCACAAGATTTCAAGTGACAGATTTAATGCCAGATTTAAGGTAGATCTATTTAAATAGGTCTACTTGGGACCCACTGGCATTGCAGAGACAATAACTTTATTGTGTTAAGATTCTTTGTATTAAGTTTGTTGCTTGTCACTTAAAACATGACTTGGTAGGGGGCCTGATCTCCAAGGCCTCTACCATGAGGTGGGGCATTGGAGACCAGACCTCTTTCTTGCAGGCCATTTGGGCTACCTTGCTGTATCATGGTATAACCAACATGGGTCTGGATGACTGTGTGTCTTTAGCTGGCTATACTGATGGGTAATTGGGCTGTGTGTGTGTGTGTGTGTGGGGGGGGAGTTATAGTTGTATCTTATTGATATCATGTATTATGTATTGTATCATGTATTGCTAATATTATGTATTATATTATTGTACTAAGTTTTGTTTTGATTTTGCACTGCTTACAGTTAAATATTGTATCAATTGATTGTATTGCTTGAATATATTATTGTATTTATATGGAATATGTATTTTCTTGTTCTATTGTAAGCTGCCCAGAGAGCCCTGGGAGTGATGGGGTGGCACACAAATATAGTAGCAATAACAACAACAACAACTTATAAGTGAGCACCACTGATTTTAATAGGAACTCGCTGACTTAGGCCAACTGTTATTCATCAGAACTTCAAGTTGCTTCCACAAATGTTTGTAACATAGTGAGGTCCAGTCCAGCACAGGTTGTTTAAGCAATAGTAGGCTGTGATATATGATGGATAGAATTTGCATATTCAATACAAATATGTAAATTTATTGCTGGGATTGTATGTGATGACTGTTTAACCCACAGTGGGCCGCTTGATCAGTGAACCACATAAATCACAGCCCCAGGTTCTACCCAACGCAAGCCATGGCTGTGCACTAACAATTCAAAATGGGCCCTTGTACATTTCGCTGCAGGCTTTTTGTCGTACAAACCGGCTCATAAGCTTTTGTTTCTTTAAATCAGAGGTAACAGCTACAGTAAAAGTTATTACCATTTGTCTTGATCTCATTTTACAAGCTTTTTGTCCTTAGCACACTAGAGCTGCTTTTCTCCCATAAGTTTGCCACATATGTAATAAAGATAAAGCAGTGTACATTTAATATAAAACCTGATTTCTTCTGTGTTCTATTATATATCAGCTGTGTTTTATGCATGTGCATAAATGGCATAAACATAGTTTAACCGTAAGCATGTTTATTCTGCAGTAAGTCCAAGTGATTTTATAGAATTTACTTCCACTAAGTACGCTTAAGATTGAAACCCCTCATGTTAGGTGTGAAAAAGCTCTGAGCCAGGGCCCTTTACCATCTTAATACTGGATCATGTGAAGGTAAGACCACTTCACTTCATGAGCAGAATACCCTCGCCTCAGCAATGAGCCCTTGCAGCATAGCTAATAGTCAAGAATGCTGGGAAGTGTAGTCCAAGGCAACCAGGTGAGAAAACGTTATTCCAGAACCTACCCTTATTCAGAAAAGCCAGCTTGAGGTTGGCCAGACACTTGCACCTCTCTTTTGAAATTAAGCACTGGATTTCTCACTATTTCCTCTGACACTTTTCGGTGTCATCCATTTACAAACTGCAGGATCCTCCTCTCGCGGTTCGACCTGCGCGGGTCTCTGGACTCCGTTACTGTGCGCCTTGCAGGGCCTCTGACGGGCGAAGCCGACGCGTTCGGGAGCGAAAGACTCGTTTAGCGAGCTCGGCGCAGACTCGAGCCCGCTTGAAAGCGACAATTACAGAGCCCAGCGACGTGTTGGGACCGCCAGGACACAGCCCAGGGCACAGGAACAGCCCGCAGGGACACTGTCCCCATCGCCTCGACACCGGGCAACGCTTCTCCTGCGCGGACGACGGAGCGATTACCCAAGCCACCTGCCAACGCTTCCTTCCGGCTTCGCCGTGGTGGTACCGCAGGGCATCTTGGGAAATGTAGTCTGTTCACAGCATAGTGCTTGCCTGGGACCGCCTTTTGCAATGCAACAGCGGTGTTTTAGACAGCTTGTTTCTTGGGCTCTCGCTCTCTCACTCACTCACACACAGACACTTCAATGGGAATCCCTTTGTTTTTGTCGTTTGTATCTTAGTGTATTAAGGTGTGCCCAAAATAAAAGCGGGGATTGCATTTATTTATTTATTTGTTGGGTTGTCAAGCGAGAGGGTGCTTTTAGATGGAAGACTGCTAGCACAACCAATCAAAAGATAAACTTACGGCGACTCTGTCTTGTCCTTTTAATGGGATTTTTTTTTAATGGAAGAAAGGGCTTATGATAGGGTGGCCAGTTGCGGATTGCTAAAAAAGAGGGCACCTATCAGCCAAAAGGATCGTATAGATTTCCATACAGTTTGAATAGGTGAATGCATATGTTAGATGACAATTTAGAAATAAGTATTAAAAGTTAAATAAAAATACAGTACATCTCACTATACTGTGGAAAGCTTTGACTGAGTTGCCTGTGTGCCTTGCTCAGTTAGCTGTCCATGTTGTGGGTAGCCTGGAGGCCCAGCTCTTCTTCGCAATGGTTCTTTATAACCAGACTTGATTTGGACAGCCCTTCAGCTAGAGCAGCGGTCCTTAAACTTTTTCAATAGGGGGCCAGTTGAAAGGCTGTGGTGACCATCGTGGGCTGGTGAGGTGGGGGTGCCGTCAGGCGCAGGTTGCTGAGGTGCTGTCGGACGTGCATGAGGCGGCATCGGGCGTGCGTGATAGTGGCTCGCTCACTTGGAGATCTTCCAGTGAGTCCAAAACCATCTCCAAGTGAGTGAGCCACCACCTTCCTGCCGGCACTGCGAGACAGAGGCAAGCACATGCATATGGGAAGCAGGTGGTGGCAGCTTGCTTGCTTGGAGACCGTCTCCGAGTGAGCAAGCCACTGCCTTTCTGCCCATGCAGCAAGTGTGCATGCAGGCGGCGTGTGGCAGCGCGGGCCAGATGGAAGGCCATGGTGGGTCAGATCTGTCTTGCGGGCTGTAGTTTGAGGACCCATGAGCTAGAGGATACTCTTTACAATAAAGGTGAGTTCTTTGGTAGCCATTCAAATTGAAGACTTGTTGCAAAAGGCAAGAGTTTGTTTCCTCACACACCAGATGAGATGTCATCTTAGCAACAGGAACAAACTTTATTTTGGACAAAGGGAATGTCGGCAACAAAAGCCGAGGGGTTCATCGTATTCAGGGTGTGGTCCTCTCTTATACTCATGAAGCAAGAAATCACCTCTGAACATGTGCATTTCAGAAAACAGAACCCATTGGATGATAGTTGCCCCTGTGATAGCTGATTTGATCGGGGCCATTTGATCAGGTCTCTAGTTGACGTATTAATGCATCAGTACACTAAGCACAGTGTGTGCCAAGTCACATCGTAGGGAGGTACATTTGTGCTTTTAAAAAACAGAATGGAATGTCAATAGGGAATGAGTGTCAGAATTTCAGACCTGCAAAGAATGAATATCTGGTCAAAAAATAAAAATAAAAAAAGCATATAGTCAAGCAGTTTATTAACAGCAAACAAATATACCAAGCTTACAACAGTGTTGAAGGGTAGCCAGTTTAAAACTGACAACAAAGGAACTGAACTTATACAGAGTATTTTATGGAGCTGGTGTCATGTACACATTCCAGGGAGGGGAATGAGACTTTGAATGGTTGATATACAGGAAGAATATAGAAGCACACAAGGACAATACAGAAACATTGAGAAATCATCAGGAAAACATGACAAGACATTGGGAGCTTAAGTAACAGATTCAACATAAAACAATCAAAAGTTACAGAATTTAACAGGTTTCAATGTTTGTTTTTACAGTCTGAAATAGGAAATTCCATAAAGACAAAGATTAAACCAATTTAGTATTTAGACAGTAAAAGCAGCTGATAGCGATTTACAAAGTTTTGGCAAGATTACTGTCGCAACAGTATCCGCTGTGGGAAGATATTGACAAGACCTGATCACGCAATTAGTGAGTTGATACATTTTGTGGATTCAACCTGGATAGAAAAACTCTGGACATTTGGGGGCTGTTGGAAGGGAGGCAAAGCTTTCTTTAATTCAAAATATAAAACTGTATCTTTTATTAGGACAACTCCAACAAGAGTCATGTCAGCAGGGAGCCACTGTTGGCCTGCTAAAGAACAGAATTGAATGTCATTAAAGAAAAGGCCTGTCGTTCAGGAACACTGACACACCGTGTCTTGGGGGGATCTATTAAATCACTTTTGACAAGTACAAGTCCCACAGACTGCCCAAGAGACATTTGGCCAACTTATTTCCAGATGAGGTGTTTATGGCCCATCATCAACCTGCCTCATTCACAGAAGTTTATGGTGGTTGTGGTAGGGGCTGCCCAGACACATCTGTTCATAACCATCCAGTGCTGTCTTAGAGGTTTTTTGTCTCCTCTTTACACATAAAAACTGTTAAGAAGAAAATAGCTGGTCAACACTTGATTGATGTTACCAGGGCCTTCCAGACAAAAGTACCTGAAGCCCTACTGAACTCAGTAGGATTTATTTCTGAGCAGAAATGCGTAGTATTCCACAATTCTTCAAGGGTAATTGAAAGCATATTAAATCCATGTTTTATTGATATCTCTACAAACAAGGTGAGCAGGAAATGTCAAAACTTACTTTGGAAAAGGTGCGGCAGTGGATGAAAGTGAAAACTTTAGGGAAGAAGCCTACTCTAACAAAGGGAGAGGAGGCCCTGTACTGAACTTACTGTGACTGTAGCTCTGGTTGAGTGGGTTGGATGCGAATCCACTCTGAATGTGAGCTATAAATTATAAACTGCAATTTAGAGCTGAGTTTTCATTGGAATTATTGGGCTCCTTGTGCTAAAGGAACAGCAGTATTTTCATGTTTGAAATTAAATGTGCCTTTGAGCATTTCATTCATGCGCTTAATTCTATGCAGGCACATTATTTTTTTAATTCCATTTCAGTACCATCCAATAGCTGAAGCTCTCTGGGCAGTTTACAACAACTGAAACAATAAAATACAACATGATGAAATATAAAAGTTTAAAACTGCTGTATAAAAACAAAATGAAAAGAGAAACCTGGTAGCAATGGAAAGATTTACAATACCGTAAAATGACAGAAACTGAAAGTCTAAAATGCCTGGGGAATAAGAATGTCTTCACCAGGCATGGAGAAGACCACATACCAGCTCAGCCTCTCTGGGAATCTGTACAACTGGGGTGCCATACACCTCACTTTTTTTTTTAATGGTGAAGGACTTTCGTTCTTGGTGAGGAACTTGCACACTTCGTACTGAAGCAGCCATATCTCAGCAGAAAAGGCAAGTTAGAATTATTCTTGTAGACAATCCATCTGTTAATGAGGCAGCTTGCCTTTCAAGTTTGAGAGTGAGCTTTGCATTGTTAGTCGAAGGGATGGAAGTTGAGAAACATCCTAAACCACTGTCATCAAAGGATTTTAACCTAGAACCAGTCATTATGGGCTTGCCAGGGGATTCTGGCTGGCCACTGCTGGGAACAGGATGCTGAACTAGATAGATCCTTGCTCCAGTTCAGCAGGATCTTATGTTCTTAAATAAAACAGAACTTTCCAGCCCCAGCATTGGATTGTTAGAATAAAGAATGTTGATGACTAGGCACTGTTGGGATGACTAGGCACTGTTGGGATGGGATGGGGCAGGACCTCTGGAGGGAGTGGGCTATAAGTCACTTGCTATCTTGGAAAAGGGATAGGACTGGGCATTTTGATATGAGGTATACATCTCCCTCTAGACAGCAAACTAAAAAGCAGAGACATCACCCTGTCGACAAAAGTTCGTATAGTCAAAGCTATGGTTCCCAGTTGCAATGTATGGTTGTGAAAGCTGGACCATGGGAAAGGCTGAACAGCAAAGAATGGACACTTTTGAACTGTGGTGCTGGAGAAGACTCCTAAGAGTCCCTTGGTCTGCAAAGAGATCCGACCAGTCTATCTTAAAGGAAATCAATCCTGACTGCTCTTTAAAAGGTCGGATACTGAAGATGAAACTCAAATATTTTGGCCACTTGATGAGAAGGAACAACTCACTGGAGAAGACCCTGATGCTGGGAACAATTGATGGGAAAAGGAGAAGGGGACGGCAGAAGATAAGGTGGCTAGATGGAGTCACTGGGGCAGTGGGTGTGGGCTTGGGTGGACTCCGAGGGATGGTGGAGAACAGGAGAGCATGCAGGAATGTTGTCCATGTGATAGTGATGGGTTGGGCATGACTTTGTGACTAAACAAAAGATAAATCTCTCTATCACACTAGTGTTGCAGTCCTAATCTAAATCAGGATTTGCTTAAATAATTATGTGATTTAGATGCTCTGTGTTTCTAGTTGCAGTTAAGTCCCTTGGTATCCTGCTTATTTTGTCCCTGTGATGCCCTCAGTGGCCAGATTGTTCAGAATGTCAAGTTAAAATATGTCATATTAAAAGTTAGCAACTTTACCTAAAATGGTGGCTGGTCTAATCCCTGCAATAGACAATCTGCCCACACAGAAGTTCTGGACTTCACTGTTGGTGTTATGCTGATCTTGGATCTCTCATCCAGCCTTTCTTGCCAGACTTCTAAAAAGCAAAGGCAGGCTAGAATTGTTTCCTGTCTCAACTTATATAATGCTTTTAAACACTTCTTTAACCCTATCTGGTGCCTGAAGCTGTTTGCTTAGAGGGCAAAAGGAAAATTACAGGAAACAAATTCTTTTTAAACACCCTGGACTTGAATGCAAATTATTGTGAGGCATAGTTATAAAAAAGCAAGGCATAAAATACAGCTTTGGGCTGGTTGAAAAATATCTGAGGCCGGTCTGAACATGTGATTCTG